GACAGATCAACCAGACAGACACCAAATAGGGAAATAAAAGCACTCACAGAATCCCTAAATCAAATGGACCTAATAGATGTCTACAGATCTTTTCACCCAAACTCAAAAGAGTACACCTTCTTTTCAGCACCACATGGAACCTTCTCCAAAATAGACCATATAGTTGGTCACAAAGCAAGCCTCAACAGATACAAAAGGATTGAAATAATCTCTTGTATACTATCTGACCACCATGGACTAAAGCTGGACATCAACAACAACAGAAACAACAAAAAGCCGACACGCACATGGAAACTGAACAACTTACTACTCAATGACAGCTGGGTGAAGGAAGAAATAAAGAAAGAAATTAAAGACTTTCTAGAATTCAATGAAAATGAAGGCACAACATACCCAAATTTATGGGACACATTGAAAGCAGTGCTCAGAGGAAAATTTATAGCACTAAGTGCCTACAAGAAGAAATCCGTAACATCACATACAAACAACTTAATGGCCCAACTGAAAAACCTAGAAAAAAAAAGAAGCAGATACACCAAAGAGGAGCAGACGGCTGGAAATAATCAAACTAAGGGCAGAAATCAATCAATTAGAAACAAATAAAATTATCCAAAGAATCAATGAAACAAAAAGCTGGTTCTTTGAGAAAATCAACAAGATAGACAAACCCTTAGCCAAACTAACTAAAAAGCAGAGAGAAACCATACAAATCAGCAAAATCAGAAAGGAAAATGGGGACATAACTACAGACACTGAGGAAATCCAAACGATTATTAGGTCATACTACAAAAGCCTATATGGCACAAAATTTGAAAATCTAAATGAAATGGATAACTTTCTTGACAGATTCCATCTACCAAAATTAAGTCAAGATCAGGTAGAAAGACTGAATAGCCCTATATCTCCCAAGGAAATTGAAGCAGTCATTAACAGTCTCCCCTCCAAAAAAAGCCCTGGACCAGATGGCTTCAGCGCAGAATTCTACAAGACCTTCAAAGAAGTACTAACACCAATTCTCCTCAAACTATTCCATAAAATAGAAACAGAAGGAACACTACCAAACTCATTCTATGAAGCCACAGTCACTTTGATACCTAAACCACACAAAGATCCAACAAAAAAAGAGAACTTCAGACCTATCTCTCTTATGAACATTGATGCAAAAATACTCAATAAAATACTTGCAAACCAAATCCAAGAACACATCAAAGATATCATCCACCATGACCAAGTAGGCTTCATCCCAGGAATGCAAGGGTGGTTCAACATACGGAAATCCATCAATGTAATCCACCACATAAACAAAATGAAGGAGAAAAACCACATGATCATCTCCTTAGATGCTGAAAAAGCATTTGACAAAGTCCAACTCCCATTTATGTTTAAAGTCTTGGAGAGATCAGGGATACAAGGCACATACCTAAAGATAGTAAAGGCAATATACAGCAAGCCTATAGCCAACATCAAACTCAATGGAGAGAAACTTAAATCAATCCCACTGAAATCAGGGACAAGACAAGGCTGCCCACTCTCTCCCTACCTCTTCAACATAGTACTTGAAGTCCTAGCCAGAGCAATAAGACAACTAAAGGAGATCAAGGGGATACAAATCGGAAAGGAAGAGGTCAAAGTGTCACTATTTGCAGATGATATGATAGTATACATGAGCGACCCCAAAGATTCAACCAGAGAACTTCTTCAGCTGATTAACACCTTCAGCAAAGTGGCAGGATACAAAATCAACTCAAAAAAATCAGAAGCCCTCTTGTATACCAAAGACAAAAAGGCTGAGAAAGAAATTAGGGAAACAACACCCTTCACAATAGCCACTAATAACATAAAGTACCTTGGTGTGACTCTAACCAAGCAAGTGAAAGACCTGTTTGAGAAAAACTTCAAGTCTTTGAAGAAAGAAATTGAAGAAGATCTCAGAAGATGGAAAGATCTCCCGTGCTCATGGATTGGTAGGATTAACATTGTGAAAATGGCCATCCTGCCAAAAGCAATCTACAGATTAAATGCACTTCCCATCAAAATACCAACTCAATTCTTTACAGACCTTGAAAAAAAGATTCTCAGCTTCATATGGAGAAACAAAAAACCCAGAATCTCCAAAACAATCCTGTACAACAACAGATCATCTGGAGGTATCTCCATTCCCGATCTCAAGCTGTACTACAGGGCAACAGTAATAAAAACTGCATGGTATTGGCATAGAAACAGAAAGGAGGATCAATGGAATCGCATAGAAGACCCAGAAATAAACCCACACATCTATGAATACTCAATATTTGACAAAGAAGCCAAATCCATTCAATGGAAAAAAGACAGCATCTTCAACAAATGGTGCTGGTGTAACTGGATGTCTACATGCAGAAAAATGAAAATAGATCCATATTTATCACCCTGCACAAAACTAAAGTCCAAGTGGATCAAGGACCTCAACATAAAACCAGATACTCTAAATCAGCTGGAAAAAAAAGTGGGAAACAGCCTAGAACTCATTGGCACAGGAGACAACTTCCTGAACAGAACACCAACAGCACAGGCTCTAAGAGCAATAATCAATAAATGGGACCTCATGAAACTGAAAAGCTTCTGTAAAGCAAAAGACACTGTCATCAAAACAAATAGACAGCCTACAGATTGGGAAAGAATCTTCACCAACCCTTTATCTGACAGAGGGCTAATATCAAGTATATATAAAGAACTAAAGAAGCAGAAAAGCAACAAACCAAGTAATCCACTTAAAAAATGGGGAACAGAGCTAAACAGAGAATTCTCGAAAGAGGAACATCGAATGGCAAAGAAACACTTAAAGAAATGCTCAACCTCATTAGCCATTAGGGAAATGCAAATCAAAACGACCCTGAGATTTCACCTTACACCCATCAGAATGGCCAAGATGAAAAACTCAAGTGATAGCACATGCTGGAGAGGTTGTGGAGAAAAGGGAACCCTCCTCCATTGCTGGTGGGAATGTAAACTGGTTCAACCACTTTGGAAGTCAATCTGGCGCTTTCTCAGACAACTAGGAGTAGTGCTACCTCAAGACCCAGCTATACCACTCCTAGGTATATACCCAAAATTTGCTCAAGTACACAACAAGGACATTTGTTCAACCATGTTCATAGCAGCTTTATTTGTAATAGCCAGAACTTGGAAACAACCCAGATGTCCATCAACGGAGGAATGGATACAGAAACTGTGGTATTTTTACACAATGGAATACTACTCAGCAATCAAAAAGGAAGAAATCATGAAATTTGCAGGCAAGTGGTGGGATCTAGAAAAGATCATTCTGAGTGAAGTATCCCAGAAGGAGAAAGACAAACTTGGTATATACTCGCTTATATAGACCTACAAGACATGATAAACATAATGAAATCTACACACCTAAAGAAGATAATCAAGAAAGTGGACACAGGTGAAGGTGATTAATCCTCATTTAGAAAGACAAATGGGATGTGCATTGAACTTATGACAGGAGTCTACCACAAAAGGCATCTGAAAGACTCTACCTAGCAGTGTTTCAAAGCAGACACTAAGACTCATAACCAAACCCTCGGCAGAGTGCAGGGAATCATATGAAAGAAGGGAAGTTAGTATGATATGGAAAGGATAGGAGCTCTACAAGGACCAAATATATCTGGGCACAGGGTCTTTTCTGAGACTGACACTCAACCAAGGACCATCTATGGATATAACCTAGAACTTCTGCTCAGATGTGGCCTGTGGTAGCTCAGTAACCAAGTAGTTTTCCAAAGTAAGGGGAACACGGACTATTTCTAACAGGATCTCAAGGGCAGGCTGTTTGACCTCCCCCCCCCCCAAGGGAGGAGCAGTCTGTTAGGCCACAGAGGAGGACTTTGCAGCCAGCCCTGAAGATACCTGATAAAACAGGGTCAAATGAAAGGGGAGGAGGTCCTCCCCTATCAGGGGACTTGGAAAGGGGCAGGGAGGAGACCAGGGAGGGAGTGTGGGGTTGGGGAGGGAATGAGGGAGCGGGATACAGCTGGGACACAGAGTTAACAAAATGTAACTAAAAAGAAAAATAAAATAAAATAAAAAAAAGAAAATTAGGCACAGGAGAAGGGATTAAATAGACTCATTGAAAAAGCAGCAAATTCGATCCCCAGCTAGGCCTGCACTGGGGTGGAGGGGCAGCGTGGAAGGAGAGACCGAGTCAAACTGAGGAAGAGAGCTCAGGAGTATATCTTGTATCTGGGCATGGAAGAGATAAATGGAGGGTGGCTCAGGGTCCTTGAACTGGTCAAGATAGCAAGATGCTGCTGCTCTGGCCTGGGCCTGAAGGTGCAGAGTTAGCAGAGAGTCCCAGGGCAGACTCAGCAAGAGAGTGAGCTGCTGCTGCTGCTCATGCCTGGGCCTGGGCCTGGCCCACAGAGGCATCATAGAATAAAGGTACTGAACCAGACACACCAAAAGAGGTCATGGATATGGCCTTGTAGCCTGGGCTGAAGAGGTGGCAATGAGATGCAACTCGGGTAAGAGCCCTGGGTCACACCAGGCAAGACAATTCAAGCATGTAGCTCCACCTGGGTCTGGGCATAGGCCAAGAGGAAGAAGCTAGTTCAGTGGTGAAGGGTGAAATTCTGGGTCAGAATCGTCAGGAGAGTGTGAAGAATTATCTCCTGCTTGAGCCTGGTCCTCCTGGAAGAACAGTGTGTGTGTGTGTGGGGGGGGGGGAGAATCTTACTGTGAGTCACCAAAATAGCTCACAGACTCTGTACCCTCAAGAACCTTAAGGGACAGATGGACAGGTAGTGCTGGTTAGAATCCAGAGTCGGACTGTCAGGATAAGGCAAGATTCAAGCTCCCGCCTGGGTCTGAGCCTGGAAGAGCAGCCTCAGTGGATGGCTTGGGATGGGGGTGCTGCTTAGATTAGCTTGCTTTCCCTTGAAGCTAGTTTAGTTAGCCTTCCTCTTTAGATGTAACACCGGGAACCCCGGCTCACACACACTTCAAACACACCAGCTACATAAAGCATTTCTTCATGTTTATTATCTCAAAAGAGCAGGATCAGCGGCTGCTTCACATTTTTGCAAAACTCCAGAGAGACTGGGACACGAGGACTCGGTCAATGCAGCCTCACTAAAACTTGAAAATCTTCCTGGCCTCTTCGATTTTTTTTGCATCCATGGGAGGCTTTCTCTGGCTGCCAGGCTGTAGGAACTTCTTCACATTGGGGAGGCTGCTGATTCTGCTCTTCAGGGCCTGTAATCCAGAAACCACAGCCTGAGAGTAGGAACTGCTTGTGTGCACAGCCCAGGAAATGTGAGCCCCTCCCAGATGATGACCAACTGCATCCCTGTGACAGCTCCAGTGTAGACATGAGAAGCATATCAAATCCATAAGCCAGAAACCATAATTTCTAAGACAGTGTAATTTGTCTTAAAAACCTTTTTGACATTCAGTTCCCATCTCCTCCCAGACACACCCTGTAGATCTGCTTTCTGTGGTGCCAAGCAGGCAGCACTGTGTCCCTCAGGCATGAAAGGAGAGAGAACCAAAGAAAACTGAAGACATGAAAAACTGAGTTGGAAACAGAGACAGGAAATACCAAAGCCTAACCAGAAGCAACTCACAGTCAGTGTTCAGAGTGGGAGACAAAGATGGCCTCAGTGGGGCCCAGGAGACAGCATGGTAGAGGCTGTGGAGAAGGAAGCACAGAGCTGAGAGCAGAGACAGAGCTGAGGGAAGGGGAGCAGCATGACAGAGAGCTGCTCAGACACTGAGTGTGCAAAGATAGGACGCACGAGATGGAAGATGAAAGAGAGGCCAGAAACAGCCTGCAAGGAACAGGGGTCCAGGGAGAGAGCTTTGGGGTCCTGCACCTTTCTCATTACAAAAGCAAAGTACTCTTCTTGGGGTACCATCCTCACATCTCTGCACATAAAAAGATGATTTTCCAGCCTGAAATCCAGGGTCTAGCAGCTGAGTTAGGAGACCAGAGGGTGGGATGTCAGCAGCCCACAGGCCCACATTATATTCTCAGAGGCATGTGTGTGGCTGCCTCTCTGAGTGGTCTCACCTTCAGCAGAGGGAAGGGGGCCAGAAGGCTGGGGTCAAACTCTTCAATGTAGAGGAGAAGTTCCAGCAGTTGAATGTCTGCCCTGGTCAGCCTGTTGCCTACAAGGTAGTTTTGTCCATGGCTCTTCAACACCTGAAAATTAAAGGAGACAGATTATGGGCACATGGAGTTGGTCTGGAGCCACTAACTTCCCCCAAGTCTCTCAAGGCTTTGCCTTTACTCAGCTTCAAGTGAAAAACCATTAATAGGCTTGTACATTGTCTATGTATGCAGAGAAAAGAATTATAATTGCCACGTTCACAAACAAAAGTAAGCATCAAGTGTTCTTCTGCACATAGCTCATTGTGTACAAGAAGCTCATGGTTCTCAACCAGACATGACATAAGCAGCCATGTCTGGCTAGAGTGTCCTATGTGTTGTGGATGTTTTGGTTTATGATATGTAACCATGTTTTTATTAAAATTCCACATTAGGGATTTTAGTTTGTCCACACCTGTTAAGTGACTAGTTTGGAGCATGGCGTTTGCCAGACAGAATTAGTTGAATCCTAAGGACTTTGAGGGATCAGGATTTGTATACGACAGCCTAGAGGAAGAAGGCACGGCTACTTGGAGGAGGGCGGCTTGCTGCTGGTTTGTCCTGCTGCTGCATTTGATATTTGCTGATTTGCTGGTTACCTGGATTTCTGGATGACTGATACTGCTATCACTTCCAACAGAATCCTATGACCCTATCCAGCAGGAAGTAGCAGAGAGAACTCTACCCTTGTCCCCACTAACCTTTCCTCCCACCCGGTGTTGGGGGGAGGGGTTGGAAGGGAGGTAGAAGCTTTTAATAACCCTAAATAATGTAAGTTTGTTAAAAAATCAAGGTCAACACCTATGAGACATGCTCTTGACTGTCAGCCTGACAGGCTGTGGGGGACTGTGTGAAGACCTGATGGTTCCTGAAACTCTTACTGCTTCCATGGTGCAAAAACAGCTGTGAGTGAAGGTTCAGAGAATGAATGAAAATAAGGTAATACTTTATAAAATGGGATTTCAAATAAGGTCTTGTTGGAACACGGTTCAAGAATGAAACTGTGCAAGGAGACTTCTGAGTGCTTATGAGAAAACTCTAAAAGAACCAAGACAAGAGTCTTGTCATCTCGGTTTCTTCAAACCCGTGCAATTGTTCTTGGATTATGCTTTCGCGCCCCTCCTAGGTGGAGTGGATAGTAGTGAGTTTACTTCAAGTTATTCACTGAAACTGGCTACTGTCATTTGTTTCCACGTCTCTATGGGAAAACATGCTTTTCTGTCACTTGGGACACCATGGCCACCACACATGGCTTGCTCTTGTGACTGTACATTTTGCTCATGTGACTCTTTTTTTTTTTTTTTTTACACCACTTTTTTTTTTCTAGGTGTGTCACTTTATTAGGGGATCTAAAATGTTAACATTTTTTTCTTTTTTTTTTATTAATTACTCTTTATTCACTTTGTATCCCCCCATAAGCCCCTCCCTCCTGCCCTCCTGGTCCCACCCTCCCTCCCCCTTCTTCACGCATGTCCCTCCCCAAGTCCACTGATAGGGGAGGTCCTCCTCTCCTTCCTTCTGATCTTAGTCTATCAGATCACACCAGGAGTGGCTGCATTGTTATCTTCTGTGGCCTGGGGAGGCTGCTTCCCCCTCAGGGGGAGGTGATCAAAGAGCAGTCCAATCAGATTATGTCAGAGGCAGTCCCTGTTCATGTGACTCTTCTTAACCATCAGAGTAAAAATTGTCTGATGCTCTGAATAAAGTTGGCTATTGAATGAGACTTTAGTTAGCCTCATCTCCATTTTCCCAGGCCCCACCTTCTCTGGAGCAGTAAACAAGTTATCACAGGAATTTGTAAGGTGCCCTCATCCTCTGGGATCATAACTTTGTCTCTTATCCTTTCCTTTCAGATGTTTAAGTACTTCTGAAGTGTCCTCAGTGTACCTCCCAAGAGAGGCACTACGTGTACCCAGACAAACCTTCATTTGTCGAGTGCGCATGGCTTTCCCCTTAAACCTGACATCCATAACCCCAATTCCTGCAGCTCAGTTTTCTTTAACATCTCTTCATCAACCTCCTCCTCTCCACCCTTCATCACTGTTCTTGTTCAGATACTTCTCCTCTGTCTTTGAAGCCCTATCATAATTCTGACAGGCAGCTGTTTTTCTGGCCTCCCTGTGCAACAGAATATGACAATACTTTCTTCTCTGTTGTTTTCTGCAGTTTGCTCTGGAATTGAGACCCATTGTACTCTGCAGGATCTAGGAGCATCTCTGGGGTGGCTCAGCCTTCCGCAGGTCCAGTTCTAGTTGTGGCCATGAACCCTGTTGAATACTGAATGCTAGGTTGTCATGACCATGCCCAGGCCATTTTTATACAGTGCCTTGTAGGAGCAGGAAGATGCATAGGAAGGCTCATGGAAGTGAAGGTGGGCTCTGCAGCAACCTTTCTCTCCCAGCCTCTGCCTTTCTCTTGTCCTTGAAACTTAGTGTCCCCAGACTTCGAAGAGCCTACTTACTTTTTCAAAGGAAGGCAAGTAACGGTTTTTGGTCCTGTCTTTTAGCAAGGAAACCTTGGCTTCTTTTTGGTCTGGGGGACATATGGCCATCTGCAAAATCATTTCAGTCAGATCAAAAATACCTTCTGAATACATGTCAATCCTGAAATAGAAAGGTATTCAAATTGTCAAGAGCTCTGTAATTTACATTTCAACCTAAAAGCCTGAGAAATTTACACCACTTGCCATTAGTGGGTCTCATTACTTTTATGCTTAACAGGTAGAGTAACTTTCCCCATAGAACGTCCTGTCAGTCCAGATATACTTTTAGAATATTTTTAAAACTCTCCTCTCATACATTACATTCAGACCACTGTTTCCCCTCTCCCTCCATGCCTCCCAATTTTTTAAGAAATTTTGTTACACACATGTGACCCAACCCAAGCACAAAGAATGTCCCTCATCCCATGTAGAGATGCAGTCATGAGATATTTGGTGGCATCACAGAAGATAATCACCAACTCTACAACAGGCATTCTCTCTCACTCTGTCTCTTTCTCCTCTCTTTCTCTCCCTGACAGGGTTCGTTCTCAACCATCACGCTTAGATTTTCAGGGCTAACAAGCTTCCTCCCATGTAAGCTCAACACAGAGCCCCTGGCTGAGCCACCAGAAACCTCTCTGCTCATCACTCATTCTGCCTCCCAGTCTAGTCCAGAGTCTTTCCTGGTCAGTGTTAAAAGTTCTCCATCTGCTTCTCATGAAGCGTCTCTGTTTGACCTTCACCTACCGCTGATTTGAAATGTCTGGCCTTGTTAGCATTTGTCAGTTTAACCATAGCATATTCCAGGGTGTGTGGACTCCCCTGTTTCAAACAGTACTTTCTACAAATTCTTTTTGGAAAAGAAATTCACTGTCACATATTCACATGGCCTCAAAACGTAGCACTTTGTTTCATTACTTTTGCAGAATTCTGAAAACGTCATTCTCCGGTTTTAAAAGACTTTGGTCACTCTCCATCCCCAAATCTTGCCACCATGGCAGCTGCTAATCCACTTCCTCCTTAGTCATACTAGAAACTTGTGCCCTGGTGTCCTGTTTCGTTACATAATAAAGTGCTGGCTCTTTACCTTTGTGTGGCTTCCCTCACCACTTCAGCTATTTTCATGGTTAAAATTCACAGTTTGTGTTTCTCTTTCATCTGTTATTGAATACCTTGGATGACTCCACCAGTAGAAAATGATAAATAATGCTGCTAGGAATATTTCTACACAAGTACTACTGAACCCGTGTCTTTATATCCCACGGACATATGTTCCCCATGTTGGAGTTGCTGGCTAACAGCACGTTCAGCTTTCTGAGCAACTGCAATACTCCCACACAGTGGTTTATGAATGAAGGATTCTGTCGCAGCAGAGTGGATCCCAGTGTGGGTGCTACCATCAGCCTACCTGCTTTAGTCCTGAATTAAACCCTTCAGGTGACCCTGGTCCCTGGGAACCAGCTGCACTAAGCCTCCTTAAGTTGCCCAGTCCATAAAACTGGCTTAAATTCCAGTTCTTGCTGCACACTGTTCCTACTCCTGGGACGTGAGAAGCAGCTTCTTTTGCCCTTCCTTTCATAGGATGCTCCTCTAAGCTCAGGCCCTGTGTCCTTTGTCCTAAGCTGTTGGCTGAGGTCTAGTCACTGAAGCCTTGAGCACTTGGGGTCATGATTTCATCATGCTCAGGACTCATGGCCCGTCTAGCTCTGTCCCTGTGCTGTGCTGGCAACATCATCCTCTGCTGTAGCCACACTCATCAGAACCCACCCCATTTGCTTTTCCTCCCCTCTGTAGACTCTGCCAGATTTGGCCTAAGTGTTTATGCCCAGAACCCATTGGGGTAACAACAGGAAATGTACCGTACAGGGCTCTCTCCTTCATGTCCTTCCCATAGAGGTCATATTTGGTGGCAATGTAGTTGAGAATGGCTCTGGTCTGTACCAGCTTCATCCCATCAATCTCTACCATGGGCACTTGCTCAAACACCAAACTCCCATCTGTGAAAGGAGAAAGGGAAAGGGTCCATCAAGTGTCCAAATCTCACTTCTCAGGAACATGTCTGAACGTGCAGGGGAAACATAAAGCATTGGCTGGAGTCTTTCAAGCAGAATCTCATCTACTTTTAGCCTCTGTTTCCTCCCTGTCTCGCCCATCTTCTTTTGCCTTTTGACCTTCTCTCATTCATCTTTATTTCCTATCCAGATACATGCTCTGTCTCTCATGCATGTTTTTATGTTCAAGTCATGTCTCTAGATACAGTCAGAAGGGGGGAAGGGACAGCAGAGGGCCAGCATGCAAGCAGAGCTAAGTAGGGACTTTGAAAGTCCCATTATGTTCATGACATTAAGGTGTTGTGAGGAAGTTGCCTGTGGAGTGAGTCACCAGAGGAAACACAGACTCCTCTGGCCTGTGCTTGTCAGGAGATAGGAACTCATCAGCAGCTATAATAAAAATGCTCAGAAAACTATCCCAGCTGTTTCTCCATCCATGATTTAATCCATGGTCATGTGTCTGTGTGGTTGTTGGATAGAGTGGGTAAAGCACGGACTGAATGAGTGAGTGAGTGAGCCTGAGTGAGATAGCTCACTCTGATGTAGAAACAACAAGGAAACACTCACAAGTCACCAGACAAATGGGGAAATCTGCCCACCCCATCACTGTTCCCATTCTCACAGCACTCAAGGAGCCCCACAGCCTACCTCATACCACTCTGCCATTCCTGACTATTTCCACCCACCACCATCACCTTCAGGTAAGCCTTCTATGTGGCACGGCAGTCACACAGATACCTTTTCTTAGTTTTTCCAAATCTTCTGAAGTCTTTATAAACTTCTCTTCAAACTGAAAGCAGAAAAAGCAAATGCATTCTATTAGTTCCTCCTGTGTTCTGTAGACTCTGGAATTTCACTGATCCGTGCCTGGTACTTTATTTGGAGAAATCACAACTTCCAGTAGTCTGATCGTGGCCAGTTGGAAATTCAGATTCGCTCCGTGAACAACATGGTGTTGATCAAACGAAGGTGCCGGTTCCTGTACTGTTCCTCCACCCTGACTCCATGCTTAGGTCCTAAGAAGAGAGTCATCTCCCTGGTGGGCCAGCACTGGGAAACTGACTGCTGAGGTTTTCTGCTCTCAGGAAAGCCTGGAACTCCAGTGAGAACAGAACAGGACTTTCTGTGTGTCCATCATGGTGGATGGCATGGGCCCATCATCATCTACATTTCTAAATTTAGGGGTTTATTTTATTTTTTTATAATATTTTATTAAGAAAGGGGAGTTCCAGATAGCCAGAGCTACAAAAAGAAACCCTGTCTCAAAAACAAAACAAAACAACAACAACAAAAAAAAAAACAACCTCCCCACCCTCCCCATGTCCTCCCAAAAGAAGAGGCCTATTTCATTACTTCTCAACTGTAAATAATAAGAACATAACACATCATGATGACATCAGGGATCACAGTACACTAATTCCTACATTGTCCTTCATATAATTGATGAATATTATTTAAGCAAAATTAATACTTATTAAAGAACCATTTCTGAGCCAGGCAGTGGTGGTACACACCTTTATTCCCAACATTCAGGAGGCAGGGGACAGAGTACCTCTGCTAGTTCAAGGCCAGCCTGGTCTACAGGCCAGCCAGAGCTACTTAGTGATGACTATCTGGAAAAAAAAAATGGTTTATTTTTGTTTTCAAGACAGTGTTTCAAGACAGTGTTTCTCTGTGTAGTTTTGGCTGTTCTGGAGTCAGTTTGTTAACCAGGCTGGCCTTGAACTCAAAAAGATCTGCCTACCTAATCATATTCTTTTCATCTTTGCCATCCTTGAGCTTTAAATATTATGCCTTTGCATTTGCTGGCCCTATTTCAAGATCCTACAAACAACGGCCAATTGTTACCTGACAATTTGGCATCTTCTATTTACAACTATCAATAATGAGTTCAGCCTAACATTGTAGGTTGTAATCTGAATATACCTTTTTTCTCAGTAACAACCTTTGAAGTATTCACATATCTTAAAAACTTATGCATATTTTAATAGCCTTCTCCTGGTTCTGAGACTTGAAAATGTATTTTCAATGTTTTTTAAAAATATTTATTTATTTTTATTTATATGAGTGCCCTATCTGCAAGCCAGAAGGTGGCATCAAATCCCATTATAGATGGCTGTGAGCTACCACGTGGTTGCTGGGGATTGAACTCAGAACCTTTGGAAGATCAGACAGTGCTCTTAACCACCGAGCCATCTTTCCAGACCAGAATTGTTTTTACAGTTTTCAGTTAGTAATAAAAATATATCTATATCTTTATAAAAATTGTACTTATTTTATGTGCAAGGCTGTTTCCCTAAATGTATGTCTATGCACCAGGCACATGCCTGGTGCCCTCAGAGGCCAGAAGAGGCCAGTAGATCCTCTGGAACAGGAATTACAGATACTTGTTAGCCACAGCATAGGTGTTAGAAATTGAACCACGACCCCCTGGAAAAGCAGCCAGTGCTCTGGACCTCTTAGCCATTGCTTCTCCCCCTTCCTACATCTTTCAGTTTTATATTTGGGAGCTGGAGAGATGGTTTAGTGGTTAATAGTACCAACTGCTTTTCCAGTGGACCTAGGTTCAATTGCCAGCACCCACGTGGTGCCTTACAACTATCTGTAACTCCCGTTCCAGGGGATCAAATGCTCTCTTCTGGCCCCCTTGGGCACTGCATGCACATGGTGACCTCATATTCATTCAGGCAAAACACCCATACACATAAAAAAGTTTTTTTTTTATAATTGGCCAGACACAGTGGCACATTCCTCTAACCCCCTGCGATCTAGGAGGCAGAGGCAGGCAGATCTCTGTGAGTATGAGGCCAGCCTGGTCTACAGAGTGAATCCAGAACAGCCAAGGCTACACAGAGAAACCCTATCTGGAAAAAAAAAATATTTTAAAGTAAATTTACATATACATTCTTATGGGAGACTATCACGGTCTTTGGGTAATGGTCCAGTTGCCCTTTCTTTCAGAGCTTCACATCCTCAGTAACATAAACTTGACAGATTTTTCACCTCTACTCCTACATTTCCAAGCATCCTCACTATTGCACAGTCTTTTAGTTATCTGACCAACTCCCCTGTTCTATGTCCAAAGGAAGGGTTGAAACTATTCTGATCAAGAACTGGGAACCCAATGTATCGACAGTGTATCAACTTACCATGCTCAACAATCCCTCTCGATCATGCTAATAATAAAATTTTTCATATTCAAATAGTTTAATATAAATACCTGTTACACCTGTTCCCGTTCTCATTTGAAAAGTCTCAGTCCTGAATCATAAGTTTCTTAATAATGCAATCAAAAGTACATACTTATAAAATTGAGAGGTCTCCTCGCTGTGAATCAGGTGCCTTTTTCCTCATATATATGATGCATGGAAATTGTGTGCAGTTTGGGGAATGATATCCACAAACAATTCTAACATAATTTGACCAGTTCCATCCCTTTGATGTTCACTGCAGGTTCTTGGCATTGAAAGGCTTAGATGAAGGGACAGATGAGACATGCCTAAAGAGGGTACACTGGACTCTTTGATGGGGTTGCTTGGTGTTCGAGCCAGATCTAAACTACTTACTTTTATTATCCTTAATTATTGGTATATAGGTGCTTGTTTGTGAAAACTGGTGCAGAATCCACAGAGGAAATAGGCAGCAGAGTCCATGGATTATTGCTTCGGCAGTTCTGAGCCACAGCATGTAGGTGCTGGAAACCAAATCTGTACCCTCTGCAAGCCCATGTAGGCATGCTAAAATACTGGGCCATATTTCTGGCTTCTCATCTACAGCATGGGATGCCTTTTTTTGTTTGTTTGTTTGGTATTTTGTTTGTTTTGTTTTGTATTTCAAGACAGGGTCTCTCTGTGTAGCCTTGGCTGTCTTGGAACTCACTCTGTAGACCAGATGGAGTTTGAACTCACAGAGATCTTCCATCTCCTGCCTCTGGCATACAGGGTTTAAAGGCATGTGCCAACATCTGCCCCCCGATTTCTCTTTTCTTTTTTCAATAATTATTTATTTTGTGTGTATACATGCATTTTTATTAATGTGGCTGCATAGGCACACACACATACACATAGCAAAACATGTTGTGATATATCAAAAGACAAACCAATTTGTGTTTTTACATATGTTCCTAGGCTCCAAAATCTGGTCATGTCATTTTGCCTTTATCTTTTATCTCATCCTTTAAGTCATTCCTTTCCCTTCATAGTTTAAAGGAACTTTTTAGCCATAGAAGGTTGCAAATGGACTTCTACCTTACTCGGCATGACAGTCTGCTGATGATTTAATAACTACACGGTATTGGATTGATAGGCAATGTAATGATCAGTGCCAATACCTTGCACAGCATTCAGAGGCACAGGGAGTAGTGACAGCCAACACACAGGGGGCTGAACTGTGATGGGTTGGTGGGTATGAGGTTGCTGATGAGGCTGAAGTCAAGGCCAGTCTGTGGGCCCATTGAACCTGGAAGGTTAGAGCTAGGGACTCTAGCAGCCCTGCCCACTGCCTTCTCAGTCACCGTGCCACACAAAAGGGGGGGTTCTGGGCAGATGGCCCCAACCCCACTTTCCTCTTACCTGAACTCAGCAACCAAATGGCTGAGAACATATCCCTGAGCCACAAAGCAGGCATAGACTCTGGCACCCAATTATTCCTTTATTTAAAGCGTTCCTCTGAGGATGGCTCTGGGGTGTCTCAGTTCTCATGCACCCGTTCATTTGAAAGGGGCCAGCTGAAGCCCTATTCATTTAGGAATGGAGAAATGTGATTCCACAGCTGAGGTAAACACGTTGCCATGACACTGAGAGACGACACCAAAGCTGCCTTCACAGGGCGCCCCTTCACTCTTTAAGCCCCCATTCTGCTCCTGTCTGGGGGCAAGATCTCCAGCTAATAGTGCCCATGACTTCCTCTCCAAGAATCCCAACTGCTGAGCTCCCCTGGTGTGAACCGGAAGTGCTTTTCCGGGTAAGGCCTCTAGAGGGAAGCCATGAGCATTTTCTGCTCAAAAGCTGGACAGGAAGACATTGAACTGCAGAATGCTGTTTCTGCTCCACACTTGGAACACTCACACACTTCCCTGAAGGCTCATAGACATGGGGTCCCCCGAGGAAGCGAGCCCTTTCCTGTTCACCACCTGTATCTTCCAGACCAGGCCTGCACCCAGGACTTGACAGTCTCTATAAAGTGATGACTGAGTATTGCTCTGTTTGGACAGGCCGGTTGTGACAACTTTCTGTGTCAGGCCTCCCATTTGTGGCGCGTGTTTTAAATGTAAGTCTATTTGGCTTTTCTGGTATAGTTTATCTACTTTAATATTTTTAATACTATAAGCAGAAAGGCGTGTGTGTGTGTGTGTGTGCACGCACGCGCGCGCAAGTGTCCATGGTGGTCACAGGCCCAAGAAGCCTCTGAGGCTATAGAGACAGGTGTTTGTTAGCAGCCTGACTGGGTTCTCTGTAAGAACAGAATGAGAATTTAACTACTGAGCCATCACTTCAGCCCCCCAAACCCTTTAAACCATTTTTTATCATGGAATTTTCTGGTTCTGTGTTGTAAAACTTCATACAAGATGCTAAATTCCTCCATCTGTCAATCACCAGCTCCAATAACCCACAGGTAAAGTCCACCCTGCTCATCCCTGTGCCATCTTCTCTGAGACTCTGACCGTGATGTCAGGAGGACCTGAGGTGACACAAGTCGCCATTACAAACCCCTCACCATAAATCTCTAAATGTAAGCAGTCTTTCTAAAAAAAAATCACAGTATCACACCACAAATATGCAATAATCAAATAGCATTACCTAATAATCAACATTCAAGTTGCTATTTCCATGTCTCATTATGTGACTTGATTCAGCTTAAATAAGCAAGTAGCCAAATAAAGATTTAATTTTTCTCCTGAAAAGATCTTTTAATTGTGAATGTGTTCTATATAGAGAACACATAACATGGTCATTTGTTCAAATCGGACCGTCTCCTTCTGAGTACAAGACAGTTACCATGTAAGGCGCAACTTCATACCCTCTCGGCTTAGAGAAGTATTTTAAGGCGGATCTGAGCTCCAGCTGCAGAAGAGCCATGCACAACCCACCTCCACCCCTGCCGCAGCCAGGAGCCACCTGATGCACTCCATTCTGCCCCGGGCATCGAAGTAGTGAAGCACGGGCTTCCCGGCCATGGCAGCGACTGTGGTTCACCAGCTAGGGACAAGAAGCAGAGAGGTCAGCCCCAGGGCAGACTGTGCAGATCTGTTTAGTTATGCAGCACTAGGCAAGGGCAGTCTGCCTCCTCCGTGGACGGCTGCAGGGCCCAGGGTGATTTCTTGACTTCATTTCTCATTCATCCTTAACCACCAACCTGCGACTGCACCAGACCGGTCTCAGCTGGCCCCAGGCCTTCACTTTGAGGACATAAATGACCTTGGCCTGAATCCAATAGTGATGAAGTGTTGTGATGAAGTCCAGTGAGCCTTGGAAAGCAGGGACATCCCAGGAGTTGAGGCCAAGTCCCTTCCCAGGCCTTTGGTTCCTGGGCTGCGCAATTTCAGCTTTTGTTGACTTTGTGTCAGCCTGGCTATGCCAAACCCTAACCTTCCCCACAGGAGAGGGGCTCATCTCTTGCTGTGGTTGTTTCCCACGGCTACACTGGACCACGTTTCCTGGGGCAGAAGGAGAGTAGCTGATGTGTGAGCTCCATATCACAAGAGAAGTAACTGCCTTCCCTGTTCATGTGATCACAGCAGGTGCTCATTTGAACTTCATTTAATCAGCACAAAGTTTCCTGGTCTGGAGCTGTCGCTGTTGCAAGTTTGCAGAAGACAGTGGGGTCCATACAGTCACATGATGAGGAAGCCCTGGTGAGGGCAGCTGAGCCTGCAGAGTGGCTGGACATGCTGGGTCCCTGCTGCTCAGTGTGTGGAAGTCAGCATCATGGGTCATGGGCAATGTCTTGAACTTGGGATAGGAGAGACAGAAAATTTCAGACTCTTTTACAAAGAATTCCATTTTTACCTTTAAGTGTGTGTGTGTATTTAAGTGCACATGAGTTCAGTGGCTGCAAAGTCTAGAAGACATCAGATTCTCTACACCCCGTGTGCTCTGAATGCTGGGTCATCATTACCAGACCTTAGCAGCATTCTCTCCCCCCTCCTTTCATTTCTTTTTTTTTCTTTTTCTGCTTGCCTTCCTTATTCTTCCTTCCTTCCTTCCTTCCTTCCTTCCTTCCTTCCTTCCTTCCTTCCTTCCTTCCTTCCTTTTGTTGTCTTGTTATTTGATATGGGGTTGCTCTGTGTAGACCTGGCTGTCCTGGAACTTGCTCTGTAGACCAGGCTGGCCTCAGACTCAGAGAAATCTGCCTGCCTCTGCTTCTCAAGTGCTGGAATTGCAGGCCTATGGCCTGGCCTCAGCAGCATTCTTACCCACAGACATTGGCTTCCCCATCCAGCTGCTCCTGTGGGTACCTAACAGCTACCTGCAGAGCTCTGTTACAATGCTCTGTTCTCTTTGCCTTTCTGTTTCCCTTTCTTTCCATTGCTTTCTGCGGCTCACCATTTAAAAACCCAGGTTGTGCTGGGTAATTAAACAGTAAAATAGCAAGGAAGTAACAAACCTTAACTATGAAACCTGATACTCTGCTATTTAAAGAGAGTTAGCAAAGCAATGGCAATTCACATGGCAAACAAGAAAGGTAGAAAACCAAATACGGAAAGTGCTTTGGGAGGGCAGCCTGGGGAGAGAGTCTGGGTGAAATTCAGTTCTCCAGTGAGAGGACTCTGCAGGTTCACTGTGGGATCAGCACACTCAGTGCAAGAGAAGAACATAATTGATCTTGGGTTTGCCTGAGACCCCACCCAGGTCCACTCCTCACTATCCTAAATCCCATGCATGTAGATTCCCTCACAAACACATGGAACCCCATCCTGTGGTTCAGTGACCCTGAAGGAGAAGGAAGGAGGGAAAAGACGGAGAAGCAGAGGAGGAAAAAGAGGACAGGAGAGCCAGAAAGAAAAGGAAGAAGAGAAGAATGAAGACAGGAGAGAGGAAGAACGGAAGAAGGGAAGACGGGAAGGGAAGAAGAGAGAGAGGGACGGAAGGAGGAAAGAGAGAAGAAAGAGGAGAAATAGCTTGCTACTTGATGTTAGTCACAAAGCAATTCATATGAGCTGGAACCAAATGCAGGTAAAATCAATGCCAATGAGCAGTGAATATAATCAAAGTATATTATATACATGAGTGAAAATTACATAATAATACCAGCATTTTTATGCAATTATTGTATGTTAGATTAAACACAGAAAACCTATTTTCCAATGATACAGACAAGAGAACGTGTCACACAAGTTATAAAAGACAGTACTGACCTCCTGAGGGCTCAGGCTTCCTCTCTACTCAGCTCCCCAATTCCAGCTCCAAATGAGTGTGGAAACTGCTTTAAAAAGATGACAATTCTAAGCCAGGGTCTGGTGACCAATAGGAAACAGCCATTCCCTTACACACCCACAGAGTTCAAGATTCCAGATTTTCAGGATAGACAAGAAAGATGACCAATCAGGAGGGACCCATGAGTCCCCACCCCTCCCTGAAAATCTAGAATCCTTTAATATGGTCACTGATAAGGTTCTTACAGTTTGTAAATGACCCTCACACATGCTTCTATATACAGCTCTACAGAGATTCTTTTATCTGTTAGTAATATCTTTCTCTCTTTCATACATGGAGTGGAAGGATGGGAAGGAAAGGAGAGAACAGAAAACTGTTTGACAGTCTTGAATAGCACGACCCTTAACTGAGTCAACCCACAGACCCCTCAGCTATCATATCAAAATATATGTTTGAACTACTCAGTTTGAGGAGTAGTTTGTTATTTAGCCCTAAATAACAGAACTAATACGTTGTTTCAAATTCAAGGCTAACTTGAACCAGCAGGATACACTGGCCCCTGATTATTTTATCTCATGGAGCATGCTAAAATCCTGCAATAGTACAATATCTGTCTTAATCTTTGTCCTGGTTTAATCAAGGGCAGAAAGGAATTTCACAACTCACTTAGCTGAACCTAGATGACCATCAACAGTCTGTCCCAGCATGCTCTGGGTCTCAATGCAGCCTTTGAGCTCCTGTAGTCACTGCTGTGGAAAAGTTGCCTTGTCATCATTACCAATGTCATTTCCAAGCTAGTGAGAATGAGTGTTACTCTGTGCCAAGTCCAGACTCCTTTCTCTCATGCACAAACCAGGACATCTACCATTGACTGTACTTACAGACCAAATGCTGATTTGTGATTATAGTTACAACCACTGATTCATGGGTCTTGGCTTCCTAATCATTACCTGATGATCTGGTTGGCCAAAGCGATGCATTATCATTCACCTGAGTCTGTACACCCTACCAGTGACCGGGGCTGGCCTCTCTTTGTCTTGGGAAACTCTGCTAATGTCTCCCCAGCTGTAACATTTCATTCCTCAAGGGCACTTCACGTTTCTAAAATCTAGCAGTGCTACATTCCAGGGTGTGCACATGAGAACTCACAGGATCTCAGGTTCCTGAGGAAGTCTCAGTCACAGGGATGAGTTGTGTTTGAACACTAGTCATGAAAGAGCCCATGTCACAGGCTTTGAGCTCATGGCAGAGAAAGAAACAGGGCCTGTGGGGAAAGGAGAGTCTCGGGAGAGCAGTGTTGACACTTGGCAGAGAGACCTGGAAGATCTCAAATGCACACAAGGGCTGACTCCGGAGTTCTGCTGAGGAGTGCTGTTGCCTTGGAACTGAGAATACTGTCCCAGCCTGGAAAGAAAGGAAGCGCTCAGCTGCCTCCCTGTCCTGGGCCATTTGTCTGTGATCCTGTTGACTCCCTGGCCTACAAGCCTGCTTTAGCCTTTCTCTGCAGCCCAGCCTCTGCCCTTACCATTTCTTCAGCTGGGCCTACTCCTCTCCACCCTCAGGGCACGATGCTGCCTTCATCAGGTTCCTGTCCAGACAGTGGGTGAGCAGCTCTCCTGGGCGTGGTTCCAAGTTCCCATGGCTGACCAGGTGTGCGGCCCAGAGAGAGGCCTCGATGATCATGTGGCCAACTCTCCTTTAGTGTTGCAGATGTGTCAGTGTGGACAGGGTCTAGAAAGGACAGTCAGGTGGCCCATCGTGTGCCCGCCGCCCAACTAACGAGTGTAAAAAGTTCTTTGGTGCAAATCCTAGACTTTATCTTCAATAAAAATGTAATGTGTCCTTCAAACGTGTTCTTTAGAGTAACTTGGGCTTTAGGAGAGTTTCACAGGGCAGGGAGTGCCCCTTGGTGGTAAAGCTTGTTCTGGCATGCTCCCAAGAACCTGGGGTAGAGCCCCAGTGAGGGAAAGAAAAGTTCAATGAGATAGTCCCCAAATACTCTTCCCCCAGTGTGACAGTTAACGTGGGCACCAACACTTTCTGTCACCTCACTCTTGCACTGTTTCTCTTTGCCTCTGAAGAGTTTGTGCTTTCGAAGCATGCTAGCCAAGCTTTTTGGAGTGTGCCTCGGGCCTTGGGGCGTGTCAACCAATCCACGGCTCTTCCGAGGCCCCAATGAAAGAACAGAGGGAACCTAGTTTCGTGTCCTTCTCAGGAGTGGACTTGGAAAGGACAGTTTGGGGATGAGGCCCGGTCCTCAAAGGAGTTAAGGTTTTGCTTCCTGGGAACTTGGCTTTCCTTGCTGAAGAGACTGGAGTTATCAGTCTCAAGGCTGCTGTGTCCTCTGTCTGAAACATTCATGAGATGCCCTGTGTTCCCTTTGTGCAACATTGAATGATTAGCCTCCTCCTGACTTTGTCCCATTTCTCCCCTAAAAATAGTACAGAAGATGCTATACTTCTCAGTAAGCTTTCTTGGCATAAGAAATAGCTTGTATAGAACCCTCCCCCCGATTCCAAGGTTTTCTATCTCCTGAAGAATGACCTACTGGCCCAAGTCAGGGCTTTCTTGTTATTTTCAGATAACTTGATTAAAGTTAAATATTTCTTTTTGTAAAAGTAAGGCAAATTAATGTCATTTCTCCCCCAATATACAATTTCTCAGTGTCATATGCAGTAGGAAATATTTGGCGACTTCCTGGAGACTTTCTATAGCAAAGCTATTGTAGATTTATATTTATTTTTTATTCTGGGGCCAAGACCTCTGCTGTTCTTTCATAGAAACCTGGTGGTTTGCCTGCCTGTACACATGTTCACCACTGTCTGGTGCATGCAGGGGTCAGAGGGAGCTTTGGATTCCTGAAACTGGAGTTACACCATGTGGATGCTGGGAAGTGAACCTGAGTCCTCTTCTAGGACAAGTGCTCTTAACTGCTGAGCTATCTCTCTAGATGGCAGGAATCTGCTGCACAACAGTGGCACATGCTGGTTACCTCAGCACTTGGGAAGCAGAAGCAGGAGGGGTCGGTACAGAGTTTCAGGCCACCTGTGTGTACACAGTAAAACCCTGTTCCCAAAGTAAAAATACCTAAGTAAATAATTTTAAAATGGGGACCAGAGAGATTGGTTCCCAGAATCCATGCCAGGAGTCTCACAACTGTCCAGCTCCAGGAGTTCTTCTGCCTCTAGGAGAACCTGCATACACAAGCAGCATATATGTACAAACACACACACACACACACACACGAATAAGTAATAAGCTAAGGATGAAAATGAGGGTTTGGGATAGAGAACAGTGGTAGAGCTGTGTGAGGCTATAGCTTCAACCTCCTGTGCTACAAAATAAAACAAAAAGAATAGCCAGCCTGGCACCGGATTGACTTTGCTGGCACCGATTCAACTGGCTCAGTGTCTTAGGCCACTACAGTTCATAACTATACACGAAGAACTCGGAACTCAGAGCTCAGGCCTGAACACCAGCCCAGCTGCTCACTGGCTTGCGCTCGCTGGCTTATCTCTGAGCCCAATCCTTCAGAGGGGAAGCAGAGCTCCTGACAGGGCTAGTGCGAGATGCAAACATGCGCAGCGCCGCACACAATCGCCTAGGGCAGCTGCGGTCAGGGCAGGCTGTGCGGCCAATCTGCATGGACAGAGACGAGTTGCGCGTGTCCACAGGCTGCAGGAATCTCGGATCCTGGGTCCATAGGGTGCGGGTAGGAAGATGGCAGAGTCAAGGCAGCACTCAAAGTTCTAGAGTCTTGTCAGGCAGAATCTCACCAAAGGAAGGGTGGAGTCTAGATAAATATTGATGAGAAGTGCAATCCAAAGCTAACGGTCAAGTTTGAAAAGACACTGAAACTCAAAGTCCAGGTCGTTAGCACCGGGAGTCCTTCAGTAAATAAACCCAGTGGAGGAAGTTCAGTGCCATGGAGCAATAGGTCAAAGTGCCAAAATTAATGTGAGGCCTTAAAGGGACAGGCTGAAGCCAGGCTTGGAAAACACCAGATGCTTGCTGGAATGTGGTCTTAGGAACTTTGCTGTTTTATAGCACATCTAACAAATTAGGGAATCTTTACCTTCCATTTTCAACAGAGACCCACACTCTCTGACCCACAGAAGCCTCTAACCACACACATTCCCTGACTCTGTTTGCCTGTTTATGTGGTATTTGAGATGCTCTCAGTTGCAAGTACCAGAGGACTCCACATATCTCAGCAAGAAGGACCACACATCAGCCCAGGAACTGCAGTGACCCTGGGGACAGTTGACTTGGCAACAGGCTGATACTATCAAGGACCCTAGGAAGTTTCAGCTCCTCATCCTTGTCAGCAACAGGCTAGAACTGAGCAGAAGCTCCCTTCCTCCTAAGGTCCTAAAACCCTCCCCACTCCTGTCACTTAGAGACTATGAACACAAACGGCCAGTGAAGAGACCACTCCACCATGGTTCTGTAGGGAGGAAGCCCCTCTACCAGCACTCAGTGCTTATGTGGTGTCTCTGGCTGGATGGAGGACATATACAGAAAACACAGTGACAAGAAAAAAAAGCACAAACGTTTTATGAAATCCCATGTACGTGGGGATCTTCGTTAGAGATGAGATCCGAAGCATGACTGTGTAAGGTTAAGACAAGGGACAGTGTGAAACAGAACACACAGACCTCAGAGTTAAAAGAGTACATTCTGGGGGTGTTGTAGCGGGGGCAGGGGAAAAGGCTAGTGCAAGGTCAGAGTTCAGGGCTATTCTCATTACAGCCCCAGCAGTGGCCTCCTGTGATCAGAGCTATTTCTGTCCTTCTCCCAAAGGATTGTAGGAAGAGACTGGTCAAGGAGTCCCTTCTGAAGTTACACATCAATGATTTCAAGCCTGAGATAGTTCATGGACCGTGGGCATTACGTGCTTGATGTGGCCAGGTAACCACACGCCTCAGAGATGTCCTCGATTCTGGACCAGCCGGCAGTGCTTGGGATTCTTTCATTGCTGCTTCTGCTCTGTGTTCTGAAGAAGCGGTGGGAGAGCTGTACCTCCAACCCCTCTCCTAGCATGTGTTAAGGGTAATTTTCAAA